CCAGACACGCGCCACTGTCGAGCTTGTGTTTGCACGATCTCGCCCCCTTGCGAAATTAGGGCACCCTGTCCCTCGCTGCCAAGGGGGTGAGAGGTTTGGCGATTTTTTTAGGGGAGGTCGATCGGGCCCTCGCCAGGCCTGGAAGACGAACCTCCGATGCTTCCTCTAGCGCGCTCGTGCGCAGTAGGCGCGTCGCGCGTTACGCAACGTGCTGGCTGAACTGCACCCGCCCTTGCCCATCAAAGAAAGAAAAAAATACAAAGCAGGAGGAATACCTCCCCTAAACTTGCAGGTTTGCAGTGCCACGGGAGGGCCTCCAGAGATAATGCGAGAGTTCGCGTCTGTGTGCGTTGCAGATATGTGAGTCGTTCCGGCTCTTCGTGGTGTGAGTCGTTGGGGCCCCTCGTCCTTCCTTGTGTGACTCCTTCGGGCCCCTCATTCTGTGTGAGTCGTTCGGGCTCCTCGTAGTATGAGCCCCCTCCTTGTGTGTGAGTCGGTCGGGCCCCTCCTCCTGGTGTAGCTCGTTCGGGCTTCCCGTGGTGTGAGTCTTTCGGGGCCCGCGTCGTGGTGTGAGTCGTTCGGGCTCCTCGTGGTGTGAGTCGTTCGGGCGCCTCGTCCTGGTGTGAGTCGTTCGGGCCCTTCCTTGTGGTGTGAGTCGTTCGGGCTCTTCGTGGTGTGAGTCGTTGGGGCCCCTCGTCCTGGTGTGAGTCGTTCGGGCTCCTCGTGGGGCCTCTTGGGAGCCTCTTGGAGCCTCTTGGGGCCTCTTGGGCGCCTCTTGGGCGCCTCTTGGGGGTCTTGGGGGCCTCTTGGAGCTTCTTGGGGCCTCTTGGGGGCCTCTTGGGGGCCTCTTGGTGACCTCTTGGGGCCTCTTGGGGGCCTCTTGGAGGCCTCTTGGGAGCCTCCTGGGGGCCTCTTGGGGCCATCTTGGGGCCTTTTGCGACTTCCTCAGAAGCGGAAATGAGCGCTGCCCCCTGAGAAGGATAAAATGAGGCCAAAACCATAGTAAAATCAATGATGTTGCTATGAAGGAAGATGAGCGCGGCCCCCTCAGAAGGCCAAAATGGGGCCACAACCGTAGTAAAATCAATGTTTTTGGTTTCAAAGACGAGTTGAGGGGCCAAACTACCTCCCCCCCTCGGGACCAGAATCCTCGTGAGGGTCGTCGTTTTTTGGCCCTCCCAGGAGTCGAAAAAGACCCCCTTGCCACCACTCGGCCCTCCCTCTCCAGGTCCAGGGGAAGGGTAAACCCCTCCCCGAAGGGGAAGATAGGGGGTTGAGAACAGAGAGAGAGCTCCCTAAACCACTCACGCCCAAAGGGCTGGTGGGATTCTCAGGCGGGAGCGGGGGTCCTGAGTAAATTTGGAGTAAGTCTCAGGCGGGAGCCGTTGTTGTTGTAATCCGGGGGGCCAGGGGCGCAGCTTGAGCATCAAGATTTTCCTTGTCAAAAAATACAGGGTGCGAGCGTCGAGGGGCACATTGCGATAGAGAAAAAATGCATGCACCGGTGAGAGAGGATCAACAATAATTATTCTTCGGAAGTGAGAACTCAACAACAACAGCAAGAACAAAAACAATAACAACCAACAGCAATAATCAGTTTAAGTCTGTTCGCCCTTATCTGCTCGAGTGTCCAATAACGCGCATTTCCCAAACGCTCGATACCCGCCTTCTTCGTCTTAGATCGAACCCCTTTTGGGGGGTATACCTTTCTTCCCTGCAGGCCGGGTCCCGGCAAGCGGCGGGGCGGCCGCGGACCGTCGGCCTGGCCAGCGGCAGCGCTGATCGGCGGGGCGGCCGCGGACCGTCGACCCGACCCCAAGAGGGACGGACAGGGGACCGACAACGACGACGACGACGACGACGACGACCGACGACGACGACGACGGCGACGACGAGCGAAAGTGAAAGCGAGAGCGAGAGAGAACGACAGCAGGGCCACGAAGGACACGAAGTAGGCCACGAATGGCGACAGCGGGGACACGAAGGGAATGCGTATGGAGCCACGAAGAGCGCGAACGAGCGGGGGCCACGAAGGACAGACAATGCGGTGCCACAAAAGGCAACGATGGGGCCACTGGGGGTTGCAACTGGGCCACGTAGGACACTGAGGGAGCCACAAACGACGACAACGGGGCCACGAAGGGCATTCACATGGGGCCACACCGAGCGCGAACGAGCGGGCCACCAAGGGCATGCGTATGTTGGGCCGCGGAGGGCAAGGACGGGGCCACTGAGGGCAGCAACGGGGCCACGAAGGGCAGCGAGGGGGCCACGAAGGGCGACAGCGGGGCCACGAAGGGCATGCATATGGGGCCACCACGGGCGCGAACGAACGGGGACCACGAAGGGCATACATACATGTGGGCCCACGAAGGGCGGCGAGGGGGCCACGAAGGGCTGCAACGGGGCCACGAAGGGCTGCAACGGGGCCACGAAGGGCAGCGACGGGGCCACGAAGGGCTGCAACGGGGCCACGAAACAAAACGAGGGGGCCGCGAGGGGCTGCAACGGGGCCACGAAGGGCAGCGAGGAGGCCACGAGGGGCTTCAACGAGGCCACGAAACAAAACGAGGGGGCCACGAAGGGCTGCAACGGGACCAAGAAACAAAGCGAGGGGGCCACGAAGGGCTGCAACGGGGCCGCGAAGGGCAGCGAGATCCCGATTCCTAGGTAATCTGTGAAGAGCCCGAACTAAACGTGAGCGCGACTCCTGGGTGCCTGGGTGTCGGGAGCGCGGCGCTTGAGTAAATTGCAGGAGTTTCCAACGGAAGGGCGCTATTCGTCAGTAAGTTGCAAGCAACTCTCCAGCGAGTGCGCGACTCCAGAGCGCTGGGAAAGCGATTCCTGAAAAAGTTGCGAGGAAATCCCAATCGAGAGCGCGATTCCTGAATGCAATGCGAGGAAGTCTCGGGCGGGAGCGGGGGTCCTGGCTAAATGGTGAAGAAGTCTCAGGCGGGAGCCGTTGTTGTTGTAACCCGGGGGCCAGGGGCGCAGTTTGAGCATCAAGACTTCGCCTGTCAAAAAACAGGGTGCGAGCGTCGAGGGGCACACTTTGAGTAAGAAAAAACAGCATGCACCGGTGAGGGGGGATCAACCATATTTATTCGACAGAAATGAGAGTTCAACAACAACAACAGCAATAACAACAACACTAACAACAACAACAACAACAACAACAACAACAACAACAACAACAACAACAACAACAACAACAGCAGCAGCAGCAGCGACAACAACAACAGCAACAACAACACACCATAACGCAACAAACAGAGTTCTCACCACGAATTCCTTATTCAGCCACGCGCGCAGGGACAATGAATGACCGTTCGGCCCCCTCATTCTGCTATATGTATGTATGTATGTATATATATATATATATATATATATATATGTGTGTGTGTGTGCACAGCTACGTTCAGCTCTGCGCGCTGCTTCTGCAGCTTGGCCTCGCTAGAGATGCAGGTGGCCTGTCGAGGGCTACCCGCGATGCCCCATAGTATAAGTGGCCCCCGAGGGTTTAGCCGTGGGGAGGTGGCAGGACAGGTTTGCACGACTGCAGACATCATTTCTTACAGCCGTTAGCAACAGGAGTGAGTGAGAGGTTCCACGGTGCGAATTTTGCTTATTTCTTCCCTCCCTTCCGGCCGTCCCCGCGACCACCACGGCGCCCACGACCACGACCCTTACCCTTCCCCTTACCATGTGCAGACACAGGTCAAGGCTGGACCATCCGGGGCACCACAGGAAGGTCAGAATGGGCATGCGTCGTAACGGCTGGGGGCTCCGATGCTCGCTGCAGGTTATCGTGTGGAAGATTGCTTCCACGAGTTATACCCTGGAGCCTGGCAGAATTGGCGAGTCAGGAGGGTGCCTGGGACTGCAGGAGGAGGATGAGGACGCTGATGATGTCGAGGGCCAAGGCTCGACAGGAGCAGCAACAGGGGAGGATCGGTTCAGGGGGGGAATGCAGCAGCCCCCAATCGTCCATGGATCGTCCATGCTGGTAGCCCCACCCCGCTAAGGAACGTGCGGATTCGCCATCAGGCGCCTATCGTCGATCTATCGTCGATGTATCGCCGATTCCGGGTAGATGTTCTCCCCCTTTTCTGAGCCAGCCCCCCCGTGCGGTGGGGGGGTTTGCCACGGAGTGTGCCCAGATGGGCGTCAGACCTTGGCGGATCTCTTGCCAGATGGGGGGGGGGGCGCGGCCGCCATGTCCGTGGTGGAGCCTCAACAGGTGGCCCACCGGCTTCCAGACCCTGGACTCCTTCTCGAAGGGCTCCTCGTCCAGCGCCGTCACCGCACCGCTGCCCGAGGAGAGGAACGCGGAGACCGTCTCCTCAAAACGAGGACCCAACACCACAGGATGGTTGGGAAGAGTCCGGACGGGAGGTTTTTCGCTTTTTTCTGCCTCGCAGGGCCCCTCTAACGGGCCCCGGGGCCGTCAAGACACGATTCGGGACGAGAAACCGGTCCCGGGGGGGTCAAGACTTCTGGGGGTCGATGCTGTGAAAAATCATGACGTCGGAGGGCAGGGTCCGTCCCTCCTCAGCCCATCCTTGGCCACTTGCGTCGGCCGCGCCCCGCTCGAAGAGCTTCGAGCTGGGCGACGAAGGGCCGTGCGTCCTTCTGGTACGGGTCGGCTGTATCTGCCGCTGGGCTGGCTCTCGCCAGCCACGTGCCAGGCCGCTTCTGTTCAGCAGCCTGGGCGGAGTCCCCCTACCCGCTCGGAAACGGGGGGAGGAGGCCGAGGAGGAGGGAGGAGGATGAGGGCGGAGGAGGAGGAGGAGAAGAGGAGGATGAGGAGGAGGAGGGCGAGGATGAGGAGGAGGAGGAGGAGAAGGATGAGTGAGGAGGAGGAGGAGGAAGAAGAAGAAGCAGAGGAGGAGGAGGAGGAGCAGGAGGAGGAGGAGGAGGAGAAGGAGGAGGAGGAGGGGCAGAGCAGAGTGGCACTCTGGTGGTCCTTGGTGTGTGCATCCCGCCTGGCCTCCCGCCAGGGCGCGCCCCCGCGCACGGCGCCCCTGGGCGCGGCGCGAGTGGTGGCAGCCCCGCCCAAGGGCGCGCCGCCGCGGCCGGCGACGCCCAGGCAGCCGCTGGCGGAGCCTTCGGCGCAGGCTCCGGAGGAGGAGGAAGACCGGCGCTACGAGCGCCTGGAGCGCTCAGCAGCCTGCGCAAGAAAAGGAGAAGGCAGACGAGGAGGAGGAAGACGAGGAGGAGGTGGAAGAAGAAGAAGAAGAAGAAGAAGAAGAGGTGCAGGAGGAGGAGAAGGAGGAGGAGGCGGAGGAGGAGGCGCAGGCTCTGGTGCCCCGCGGACCGAGGGTTACTTGTCTAGGCCTCCTAGATGGGGTCGGAGCAGATGGGCTCGATGTGGGGCCCCATTTTCTCCACGCGGACGTCACCGATGCATCGCCGAGGTCGCCGATGCATCGCCGATGCACCGCTGACACATCGGCGATGCATTGGCGATGCGGCGAGTTCCTTCGACCCCATCTACTCGGACCCAACCTAGGAGGCCTCTAACTTTGCATCTTCGGGTGACCTCGTCTGTCCGCAAAGTTGGAGTCTTCTCTTGAGCCCGTCGCGGGCTCGATGCGGACTCGGCGCGGATTTGGCGTGGGTTCGACGCGGGTTCGACACGGATTCGACGAGCCCGACATGGATTCGACACGGATCCGACGCGGATATGGCCGCGACGGGACCGACGAGGTTTCCCGAAGGTGCAACACCGTGGGTGCCCAGGGTCGGGAAGAGGAAGCCTGCGCGAGTGCACGTCGGTGCGGCCCCGGTTTGGGGATCGGTTCCCGTGCAGGAGCTTTGAGAGAGGGGGTGGACAATGGGCCAAGAGGGGGGCAAAAACCAGGGTTAAGTCGGGCGTGTCCCCCGACAGGGAGATTTTCGACGAAAAATACACCAAAAATAGTCAGAAAATAATCCAAAAATAGTCAGGGGACTATTTTTGTTGTATTGTTTGATCTTTTGGGGGTATTTTGGGGGTATTTCTTATTTTTTGTCGAAATCCCCCTGTAGGGGGACAGGCCCGACATAAGACCAGGGGGGGGTGCGACACCATGCTTACGGGGTGCTGCGCCGCCGCATGCATGCGGCGCGCCTGGGGGGCCGAGCACCAGCCGCCCGGGCTGGAGCCCGGGCTGGAGCGCCGAGAGGCGACGAGCTGCACCCAGCTCAGCGGGTGGTCGCGTCCTCTCCCCAGAGATCCGACGTCGCGATTTTTTCGATGCGGGGTCCCCGGAGGTCTCGACCCATTCCCCAGGACCGGTTTTCCATCCCCAGTCGTTTTTTGACGGTCCCGGGTCCCGGCGAGGGCCCCTTGGGGCCGAACGTGACGAAACATTTGCGTCTTGATTTTTTTCAACACGTTGGGTCTCTGGGTCTCCCGCTTCTTTCCCCTCTCAAGAGGAGCTGCGCCGAACAAGCGCTGTCGGGGGGCCCTCGGGCTGCCCCGGGAGCCGACCGCATCAAGAGCGCGCCTGGATGCGATGAGGCTCACTGGCGGGGCCCTCCTCGGAGGCAGGCTCGCGCCGCGTCGGCGCGGGGGCGACCCCCGCGGGGTCGTCCAGGGCGCATCGCCGGCGGCGTCCTGGAAGCCGCCGACGTCGAACGATCCGCCCTGCTGGAAAGACCCGCGCGGAGCCAGAGAGCGGCCTCCGGGTCGTGACGGCACGAGCCGGCCGCACAGGTTTCCTTCTTTTTTGTGTGCCCCCTCTTCCGCCTCCCACCGTCTGCACCTGGTTCCTCGTGAGGCTCAGCATCGAACATGGCCTTGTGTGCCCGCCTGTGCCCCTTCGCCTGCCTGACAGTTAGGGGAACAAAAAGTGAAATAAACATAAAAACTCGGAGGTCCGCGCTGGACCCCCTTGGCGGCGCCTCCGGCGCCGCCCCTGGCGCGCTCCGCGCGCCAGGGAGGGGGGTCCAGCGCCGATCCGAGAAATCCGCGCGGACCTCCAAGTTTTTATGTTTATCACTTTTTGTTCCCCTAACAGTGTCTCTCGTGAAGCGTGATTGTTTCAGCCTCCCAGGTGGGGTCCGAGTAGAGGAGGTCGGAGGATCGCGCCGCATCGCCGATGCATCGCCGATGCGGCTCGATGTGGAGCCCGTGTTTCCCCACGCCGACGTCACCGATGCATCGCCGAGGTCGCCGATGCATCGCCGACGCATCGCCGATACATCGGCGATGCATTGGCGATGCGGCGCGATCCTTCGACCCCATCTGCTCGAAGCGCTCTCGAGAGCCTCTGGGGGACAGTTTGGGGGGGCGCGATCCTTCGACCCCATCTGCTCGAAGCGCTCTCGAGAGCCTCTGGGGGACAGTTTGGGGGCCTCTTGGGGGCCTCTGGGGGGCCTCTCGTGGCTTCCTGGGGGCCTCTTGGGGGCTCTCTCGTGAAGCGTGATAAATCACGCTTCGCGAGAGAGCGCGATGCAACCCGACAACGGCTTGCGCGCCTTGAAACCCGACAACGAGACACCGCAAATGTCTTCTTCCCTCCATCGTCTTGCAACAACGATGCAAGAATCGCCGTCTTGTAAGAAACAAAACTGAAGATGTCAGGATTGGACCGGTAGTTCTCCGCAGCGAGTCTCCTCTGCCTGCTCGCTCGGCCGAGGCGCAGCCGCCGGCGATGCCGGCGCCGGCGCCGCTGCGCGCCGCCCCGCGCGTGGTCGGGCGGCCCCCCAAGGCCGGAGCAGCAGCCGACCCCCCGCGCGGCGGCAGCGACCAGGCAGCCCCGGGGCACGTGCCAACCAGCCGCTCCGGGGAGGTCTGCCCCGGCTCTCCACAGAGCCGCCGCGCTCGTCGAGGTATGCTCTGATGATGCCGATTTTGCCGCCCACTTTGCCAGCGCCGTTTCCACTATGATTACCTCTCGCAGGGGTATCCGCCATACGTTTCCGGAGGCGGAAATGTCCGCCCTGCTTTTTCGCATCGTTCGAGGTGCATCTCGGACACGACTCTCTGTCGGAGAATCAAGCGAAATACGGCGGGACTGGCGTCAGGGTGGAACACGCAGTTCTGGAGAGGCCCCAGCTCCCTGGAGCTTTGGCAATCTGATGCACCGCCGCCCCGGCCCCGCCCCAGCACCCGGCATGCAACAGGGCGCGAGCTAAACAATGACGACGACGACGACGACGACGACGACGACGACGACGACGACGACGACGACTACGACGACGACGAGGACGACGAGGACAACGAGGACGAGGACGAGGACCGAGGAGGAGGAGGAGGAGGACGACGACCGAGGAAGACGAGGACCGAGGATGGCGACGACGGCGACAATGACGACGACGACGACGAGGACGGCCTGGCGTTGCACATTTTCCATTTGTGCAGATGCCTGCGGGAATCCACCTCCCTACCAACCAAGCTCTCTGCTCAACAACCCTTCGATCAAATCAGGCCTGTCCCTCTACATAAAGAGGATTCAAACATAGTCAAAAAATATGCAGTCTTGGGACGATTTTCTATTATTTTTGATTATTGTAGGGCATTGTTCTGTCTATTTTTTATTTCTCGTCCAAAATCCGCCTGCCGATCCGAGAAATCCGCGCGGACCTTTGAGATTTATTTCTATGTCATTCTTTGTTCCCCTAGTCTTGGGCTCCTGTGGGGCAGGATTTCGGGTCCCTTGGGACCCTGTTGGGTCGTCTTTGGTCCTTATTGGGCTATCTCAGGGCCCTGTTGAACCGTCTGGGGAATCTCTTTGCCGTTTGGGGGTTCTCCTGGGGCCGCCGTGGCTGTTAGGCCGCTTGGTTCCCTACGTAGGCCCTCTTGGGCCAGCTTGGGGTTCTGTCTGGGCCGTCTCGGGCCGACTGGGAGCTCTGTTGGGGCTCTCAGTGGGCCAATTTCGGTACTCGGAGACCGCCGCAAGTGGACGGATCTTCACCCGAAGAGCATGGAAAGCGAAACATATTAACACCTGCAAGGGGAATCCACTGCTTGGGCCTATCGAGGGCCTCCTGAAGAGCGGCCTGGGGGTGTCTTGGAACGTCTTGGAGGCTTCTTCTGGCCTGCTTGGCGCTTTTTGGGGGGCTCTCCGGTGCCTCTTGAGGGATCAAGCCTTCTGTGATCCCTCGCTGAGACCTCTTGTGGGATTCAGGCTTTGTTTCCAAGCGTGCGGGGACCCTGAAATGAGAGCTGCCGCAATTCACGTCGCTTGATTCTCACACGTTGTCAATTACAGCCCTTTTCGAAGGGCCATCGTGCTAAGCACGCCTGTCGGAGGGAGGGAGGTTGAGAATGAGCAAGGAGAGCGAGCAGCAGCAGAAGCAGCTCCCTCTGCGCCGGCACCGCCGACTCCCGGCGCCAGGTCAAGGCCATCATGGCCCGGCCGAAGGCCAAGGCCGGCGGCCTCGCGCCCCAGCCTAAGGGCGCCTGGGCGCCTCGGCAGCCCGCGGTGGCGCCCGGGCAGCTGCAGTTCGGAGGACGCGTCCTCTGCTCGTGCCCCTCCTCGTCCTCCTCGTCCTCGTCCTCGCCCCCCCCTGCTCCTTCCCCTCCTCCTCTTCCTTCTCCTCCTCCTCCAGCGGCCACACACTGGGGCGGAGTGTGCCCACCTGGCCGGCGCAACCCCTGGCCGGGTGGACGCCTGGCCTTCCGCGACGTCCTCTTCCCCTCCCCCCTCCTCCTCCTCCTCCTCCTCCTCCTCCTCCTCCTCCTCCTCCTCCTCCTCCTCTACCTCATCTTCCTTCTCCTCCTCCTCCTCCTCCTTCTCTTCCTCTTCCTCCGCCTTGTCTCCGAGGAGGGCGAGTTGAGACAACGGCAGTTGGCCTTCGGGGTGCTCCCCCGTCGCCACGGCTGGACGCAACACGGACAGCTGCTGCGATTACGCATCGGGAGGGGTCTGGGGACCGATTTTCAGCTGCCGTTGTCTTAACTCGCCCTGCTCCAAATCCTTTTCCCTCTCCCTCCCTCTCCTTCTCCTCCTCCTCCTCCTCCTCCTCCTCCTCCTACTCCATTTTTCCTTATGGATAACTCCTCCATGTCGCATCCGCAGACGTATCGATAAAGCGGGCCGGGCGTTTCGCCTAAAACTTCTTCGCAGGTTATGATCCTGAAGCTTGAAATGTGCAACAGTTTCACGCACGGAGGGCT